TATATTCGGTAGTATCGATGATTGCGATGAATCTGAATTTTTATTTAAGATGCTAGGTCCTGGTGTTTCGTAAAGGCGATGCAATGTCTTGGCTTAAATCGAAGTTCACCGATCTGATTTCATATAGTGGGGAGAGGATGCCTTTAGACACGAATCAACATGGCAGCGTCATACAAATTCAAGGCCCGATTTCACAGCGCAGAGTATCGCTCCCTTTCTCAGAGTTGCCTACGGGGAGGGGCATTTAAGCAAGCTACGGATCTGTCGTACCTAGACACCTGCAGCCTAAATGCACCTCGCGTGCAGTTGCATATAAGGATTAAAAGCTCCTGAAACTTTGTTCGTGATTTGCATAAAACTGCATTTGCGAATAAAAATGAAGTGACACGCATTTAGCACATCGGGCATCATGGAACACAAATGCAATGAACTGTTTAAATGGCTCCTACTAACAAAGAGCAAGGGGACGATTCGTGAATAAAATATCGTGCTCTTAGGTTGAATTATGCTCCAATTAACATAATGCGACATACAAACCCGTTGTTAATCGACACAAAATGTGTAACAGCGAACAAAGAATCGATAACGATAACGCAACACAGCTTCATAGATTGTTCTTAATGCAACCGTTCCACTTGGAGGCGCTGCATTACGTTTCACGTTCATGCCATTTTGTAAAGCTTCGATCATGCTTTACAACCAAAGTCGCCGGTCTTAAGCTTATAAGTCCAGCAACTCCGCTGATAAGGGTCTGAAGTCACGAGTGACAATTAGTAGGTTAGAATCTAAATTGGAACCATCCTTGTTTACATTCTGAGATAAGGAAATGAATATTTGAAGGACACCGTAAACTACTGGCTATAAAAGCAGCATAGTTGCTGCTACCACTTTTATCAGTAATGCAGTCTCTAGCAATGGGTCCGAAATGGTGATCGAAGCGAGGACTATGTGAAGAAAGGCGCACAAAACTGAGGCATCATAAGCTTAAGAGACATATTCAAACGACGACGAACTTAAAC